ACAGCCCAAAACCACAGTAAGATTTCAGCCCGTGTGAGCTGGTGCCACGGAGATGCATGGCACCGTGAATGAGGGCTTGGGTTCTCATCCTGCCTCTGCTCCCCAGGGGTTCTTGGGAGCAAGGCCGCAGACTTCCAACAATGAGCAGAGGCATAGAGCTAGCTGGGCACTTAGTACAAAAGCTTCTTAGCCACCCCCCCCCCCGTTTTTTTTCCCCTGCACTAATATTCCAGAATCCTCATTTGTGTCACAGGTCTAGGCCACTGAGAATTTGGTTGATAGATCCCACGCAGATTTCCCTGTGGATGAAGTTAGGGGACGGACACTGACTTCTCACATAATGAATTTGAAAATAATAGACAAAATTAAGCTGGGAGAGAAAGTTCCCAACTTAAAGCTTTCTAAGAAATAAAGCAACATTTCCCCCTGAAGACGTTATGATGTTATATATTTTCTCTTTGGATGAAATAATTATTCAAAAGATATGAAAGGCCTAACTCACGTTCACTGTGCTTCACCTCTTTCCTGGAAGTAGGGGGATTATGCTTTATGATGTGGAATTTGGTTTAATGCATTTTCAGACTTGGGTCTATAGAGCTGTATCCTCAGAGGTCTTATAAATATTATTACTTGAAAGAAGGTGAAAGAACTAAGAATATTTAGTTTGGAAAAGAGAAGTTAGTCTCTTGCACCCTCTCCTCCTCTATGTCCCTCTTTTCAGTTGCAGAATAAAGGGCTTTAATGTCAAAGGCTAGGCATTCAATTTATTACTTGGTTTCCAAAGCACAGTTCAGGCCTATGGATATGGGTGACAGGCAAGTCTCTTTCTATTCTGACAATAGTTCTTCCCAGAAATGGGATGAGCAATGAGTAAGTTCCACATTCTAGCAGACAGAGATATTTATTACATGCACTGGAAGGTATTCCTGGACTAGGTCCAACTCGATGGCCTCTTCTGAAGTTCCCCGTGGATGCTGGGTGTGGTAGCAAGCACATGCATGGCAGCAACCACAGATATGGGGGGCTCTGCAGGTGAGGGCCACTGTGCTGCCTGCTGGTGACCAGGACATTCTCAGGGCAGCTGGATAAGTGACATTGAGATACAAAGTGTATCTTTTGGAAACAAGATGATTAGAAATTGTTGCAAAGTTGTGTTCTCCAAAGTTGGCTTTGGTTTTTTAAAGAGCCAGAACTCTGGACAATATGGGATCATTGTAGTGGACAATGCCTTTTGGGGATTAAAAAACAATCCCCATGACTTTGGAGGCACAAAGATGATTTTCTTGGGATGCCCATAAGCTGCTTTTGAAATAGAGGTTTTCTCCAGTGGCAGCCATGTGCGAGGCCACAGAAGCACCGGAGAAGCCGCCCTTGCTGGAATGTTCACATCCTGAAGTGCTTTTCAAAGAGCATTCACATGCTTTCCAGTTCCCGTGCTCGTTATGTCTGGGCAAGGGGTTGACGTGTTTATTTTATTTCTTAAGATGGTGTTTCCGAGGCTGCTGGAAGCTCGGACCCTGCTTCCTTTGTCAAAAATGCACCACATTCCACAAATGTGATGTTATGAAGACGCAGCCTCTGGAAGGGCCCCAGGGTGTTCTGCCCGGTCGCTGTGTGTCACCTGCCTCTACTTCTTCACCTCCTTGTCCGCTCAGTGCTTTGCTGGACAGCTGCTGGAGCCAGTCTCATCCAAGGCACAAGAGTGGCTGCCTGCTTGAGAGGGTTTGGGAGATGGAAGATGCCATCCTCGGTCTCTTTCATGGGGGAACTGAACCTGTGCACACATTAAGAGAGATCTGCCCTCAATTAAAAATCCTTCTGCAAGAGCAAGCTGAGTTTACATAACGAATAAGCCTTACAGCTTCCCCTCAGCAGTTGATTTGACTTTGCTAAATGAGAAAGGTGATTGTTCGGGAGGGTGAGTGGGTCGCCAAAGGGCATGGAGTCGGGAATGTCTGCGAGGCTGAAGACAAGCCTCGGGGTGACAGCACAGCTTTGTTTAAAAGCAGCCCAGCACATCTGTATAGACAAAGACGGGATGGCCGGGCAGCCAGATCATGGAGCCCCAGGGTAGCTCCTCCACTGGCTAAAGACCCTGGGGTTGGGCCAGAACTGAGTGGCACAATGCAGGGGGTGTCCTGGTCCTTGTTTGTTGGCTCTGCATCAAACATCTTCCTCACTCCACGGTATCAGTGTCTATTTGTGGGTTCACCTTTTTCCCATTCTCAACTCAGGGACTTTGGGTGAAGGTTCCACTCCCAGCTTAGGGATGAAGCATGTGACCCAGGCCTGAAACAATCAATACTTCATGATTCCCTGGCCTCAGTGATTGGTTAGGGGCTGGGCAGAGCCAATAACATTCAATGAGGCTTTCCTTAGTAGTATTGGGATCAAGGTCGGTGTCTTGCCTGCTGGATTGGACTGAGAAAATTCTTGTAGCCATCTTGCCACTGCCAGGAACTTGAGAACAAAGCCAATACAGTGCAAACAGAGCAAAGAGGTGGAAAAAAAAAACAAGTCCTAATGATGCTGCTTAGCCCCTGGATCCAGCTGTGCCTGAAGCTGATATTCCCCTTGACTGTTGCTTGTCACCAAGGAATCATCAATTCTGGGCAACTGGTGGGCAGGGAGTGGGAGCAGGAGGGACAGGAACAGGGCATTGTTCTAAGTTTCAGGAGGGGGTATGCTGCAATTTCCAGAAGGAAAGTTTTCAACAGAGCTATATGAAGAGGAGACAGACTCCTTGAAGGGTGAATTCCTTTCAGGTGGTGCATTTTCCAATATTCATAAGATGACCACTTGTGGACAGGGGAAGCATAAAATCAACTCAATCAAAGGCATCAAATGGGGGGGGGAGTTGAACTGGACAGTTTTTAGATCTGTGTCAAAGTCACTTCCCAGTGAATACAGCAATGAGGTCCATGCTCTTTCTAACTCCCTCTTGTGGTATTTCCAGTACAAGAAAGGAATGAACAGAATGAGCCATAAAGATGAATTTTGCCATCTTGGTAACAGATGACCTGCCCAGTGGACAGGACTCCACTACTAGGTCTTCACCATGAGCCTGACCTTGGCTCACCCCACTGCTCTGCCAGTGAATCTACCACCCACGGTGCCTTCTAAACCCCTTCCACCTTCTCCCTGCTCCCACCTGCACCGATGCACTGGCCCTCACGCAGAATTTCCTCCCTTTCTGCTTTCCTAATTTGCCATATAAGAAGCAGCTCTCCTCGGTAAGCCCAGGTCTCCTAGCCACCCCAGAGCAAAGGAACTTGTGACCTCGGAGAGACAGTTTCTGAAGCACTTCTATGAACTTCATAATGCTTTGCTAATAAGCTCCTGGATGCTTCTTTGATATTTTTGGCTCCCCATCTCCTTGAGGGCAGATACAGACTATGAATCCTGGTGTCCAGCATGCAGCTTTGCACAGGCTGTGCTCAGCTGACACTTATGGGTGAGTGTCTCCTGGAACAGGCCACCTGGCAGGCTGGAGCCGGGTCGTTAGAGTTTATGGTGAAGACATGGGCTCTCCCACGCCACTTTGACAACTCATGGCTGGCTGGGTGGGTCCAGGGTAGTTGCAGGCCCAAGACAGAGGAAAAATGTCCTCCCTCCAAGTCCCTCCCTCTCCACCCACACCTGACACCCCGCATGCCCGGTGATACACAGTCATCCATTCACCAAACACCTAGCCTGTGCCAGGTACCCAGTGATGCACAAAGCAGGAGCATTTAGTCCTGGGGGGCCTTCAGTGTGGAGTCCCTTTGTCACAAAGCGAGGATCATTCCTCTGCGGTCCCCTTCTCTCTCCCTACACCCTGAGATGTCTTGGCTGGGGAATCTTGGATCTTTTGTGTGTCCCTTTGGATGTGCGTTGTTTGTTGCTTTCCGATGCCCAAGCCACCCTCCCAAGGCCCTCTTTCTGCCTATCTGCCTTCTGTCCACGACTGTGAGATGGTCCCTCATGCCTAGACTCCACCTGCTAACCCATTCTCCTGCTCCTGGAATCCAGGATAGGACTCTCCTAAAGCCCAGGAGCGATCTGGCACCCCCCAGGGACAGCCTCCTGGTTTTGATTAATGTGCGCTTTGCATCTTGCCCGCCCATTTGGTTTACATTAGCAAAGCGGAGACGTTCTGAGTCTAAAAGAAACATGCACAATCCTGGCAGTGATAGGAAAGCAAAGCAAACCCTGCTGGACTCTGGCTTGAGTCACGGTTGACCCCAGGCCTTGGGTGAGGGTCTTACCTTTGATTCTGCCCCCTTAGGATGAAGCTCCTCGTCTTACCCGCAGACCCTCAGGTTCTGACGGCTGCTGGGTCAGCGACCAGCGACCCTGACCACCTGCCGTGGCCGGGGACTGTGCTATCTCCTTTTTTTCACTTTCCACAAAGCTACTGGGGGTGGGAGATCCCCTTGGTGGCATGGCATGGCAAAGAGCCAGCCTCCCCTTTGCTCTTAGTCTTTGCCAGAACTCTGGAGCCTGGCTGGCACGTCTTGGGGGCAAAGCTGAGCCTGCAAGTGATCGCAGAAAAAAAAAAAAAAAAAAAAAACAGGACTTCAGGTGGAGAAGGTGCAAGGAGGGCAGCACCGAAGGAGGCAGCGCTGCTCAGCACGAGAGAGGGTGCCCGGGCCGCCGCGAGCCCGAGACGCCCGGCGCTCTCCACTCCGTGCCCACGTGCGCGCGGTGCCCGAGCCGCGCGCGGGAGCCGCAGCCGGAGGCCGCGCGGAGCCGCGGAGGGGCCGCGGGCGCGACCCGGCGAGCGCGCAGCCCGGGCGCGGAGCCCCGGGGCCGCCCACGGGCGGGGGAGCCGGGGAGCGCGCGGGGCGGCGGCGGCGGGGCTTCCCCGGGCTTCCCCCCAACCCGAGCCGCGGGCGCCCGGCGCGGGCCCACGGTGCCAAGGCGGCGCCCGGCGCGGGGGAGCCGGCCGCGGGGCGCCCCCGGTCGGCGCGGGAGCGGGGGCCGCGGCGCCCCGAGCCCCGGGCGGAGGCTGGGGCTGCGCCCTCCCCCCGCCGCGCGCCCCCCGCCGGCGCCCGCCCGCCTCCCGCCCCCGCCCGCGGCCTGGCGCGCGCCGCCCTCGCCGCCCGGGTCCGCGCGCCGGAGCCGGGAGCACCAGCCGCCGCCGCGGAGCCGCCCGGCCGCACCATGCGCGAGCTGGCCCTCGAGATCGGGGTCCGAGCCCTGCTCTTCGGGGTCTTCGTGTAAGTAGGGGCGCGCCGCGGGCGGGGACGCGCGGACCCGGGGGCCCTGCATCCGAGCGCCTCTGCGCCCCAACTTTGTTGGCGCCGCTGCGTCCCGCCGGGGCCTGGATTCGAGGTCCCCTCCGCGCCGGTGCCCGGGGTGTTTCCGCGGGACCCGGGGAGCCCCTGGAGCCCCTTCCTGGGGCCCCGGCGCGGGGGACCTGCGCGCCCGGAGCCGGGACCTGCCCTGCGCGCCCGCACCGGGCCGGGAGGTGCCTCCCTGCGCCTCTCCCGGCCCCGCGCCTGCTGCCGGGGACCCTGGGCTGCCCCCGGGCCGGGCGCACACCCGGGAAGTTTCTCCCTGGCTGCGGTCTCTCGGGCCCGGCGTCCGCAATCCTTGCTCCCGGCCCACCCCCCTCTTGCGCCCCGCGGCTCCCGGCGCCGCGCTCGGTCTCCCCGCGAGCGTCTGGCTTTAGCGCCCCGGGTCCTGCCCAGCCGAACCTCCTGGTTTTCCAGAAGGCGTTTCTGGAGGGACTTCTCCGGCCGGGAAACTGTTGCTGTGGCTCTCGGGCAAGTCGGGGCGCGGCGGCGCGGGGGCTGCATCCGCCCCGCACCCGGCTGTGGAGCCCGTGCGGCCGGGGCGCGGGCCCCGGGGCGGCCGCCAAGTGCCCCGGGGGGCCTGAGCCGCGGGTACCTGGAAATCGCGACCTTGGGAAGAGGAAGGGGCGCGGGCTCAGGTTCTCGCAGAGATGTCTGAGCCCCAGGGGGTCCCGGGGACCCTGGGCCCACCGGCCTCCCGGGCCCAAGCAGCAGGGAGCCCGCGCGTCCCTTCCCTGCCTGTCGGATCCCAGCCCCGAACCCCAGCGCAGACCCTTCCACAGCCCCCGCCGCCTGCCTGGGCGCGCACCTGCCCTCGGTCCCTCCATCGGGGGTTCAGGGGTTCCCTCCACCTCCCGCGGCTGTCTTTTGACGCGTCTTTATATTAAAGTTGCATGAACTTTCTGCATTTGCGTGTTTTTGTTTTGTTTTTATTTTCTCGAAAAGCCTGCTCAGCCGTTCCCAAGGGGAGGCCCCTCTGGATTTCTGCCCTGAATCCGGAGTCACTGCTGGCAGGTGGGAGGCTGTGAGATGACTTCTGTTCCCTGCAGCCCAGGGTCCACGCATGGAAAGAAATGCCCTTTCTTGCATGTTTCTTTTTACTAGGGATGAAATTCATCCAGCGTGTTTATTCACACCATCAGAAAAAGCCGGCGCTCCCCCAGATGCAGGCCCCCCTCGCCCAGCTTCTGACTAAACACTAGTGTTATTCAGTGGGAGGAAGGAACGAGAAGAACTTTTGCTGGATCTCGATGCCTTTGGGGAAACAGAAAACACTTTCCCTTCCTCTTACTCTTTCTACCTTCGGAATATGTGTTAAAATTCGTGACTGCTGTGCCATCAGATGGAGACCGTTTCCACTGGGCAGATAGGCTAAGCCTCATTAAATTATTATGTGAAAGAAATGATAAAATCGTGTTCAGTGCACTGGAGAATTGAACATTTGTTGGGTGGATGTTTGTGTGAGTAATGCAGAATTAAAGTGAGGTAGACTCAGCTGCCTGGCGGGAACTGTCAGATTAAAAAAAGGGAGTCAGTAATATGCAAATATTTATCTTGTTTTCAGCTTTCCTTCAAATACCCCCCCCCCAAACACTGACAAGATATTTACAAATGTATAATGGTCTGTGCAGTGGGCTTGAAAAGCTGCTAATTATCCTTTTATGTGCTTCTTGCTTCCTCTAAGGATGTTTTATAAAAACCAGACAGGCCGTTTATATTCTGGTCTCCAGAATATATTCCCCTTTGGATTAATTTTTTATTAATTACTTAGTAGGGGATCTGCTGTCATTCTCCAGGGACACACCAGGGCGTTTATGGGATTTTTGGTCCATTCTCTGATTTCAGATCATATTGGAAATATGAAGAGTGCGCTCACCTTGTGGCTCTTTTACCTGCAAAGACCAGCTTTGGTATCTGCCACGTGAAACTCCTCGGGTGGGAAACTTGCATGTTCAGATGCTGATATCATCAGGCAGATAATGATTCCAGAAGGGCTGGCCCGGAGCACGGGGATACAGATGACGCTTTGTTTTCTCAGAGACTGAATGGTGGGTAGGGGTGTGAGGGGGGATTCTTTTTCTTTTTTGCCAGTAGCCCTGGTCTGATTGAAGAGTCAGTGGCTTATAACCCCCCTGTGCTTAAGAAAATGGGGGTCTCAGCAGCAGGGTGTCACCCAGGTAGGTTTAAAAAGTCCCTCTAAGTGAGCTGGATTCCATTTCTTGGCTGTTAGGTCCAGCTTAGCTGATCTGATTCACCTGGTTCTGCTTGTTGTTGCTACTTTTTCTCAGGAGAAGAGAGTAACCTTTTTTGGTGGATACCTACTTCTTTGCAAACTGGTGTCTCCAGGGAAGCAAAGCCCATAGAGGCACCTGTTCTCGGAGAGAGCAATGCTGAGGGCAGGGACCCAGCCCCACAGCCACATGTTCCTGTAGACGCAGAGTTAGTGCTCACGAAATGCATCTTTGGACTCATAGGTCGTCAGGATATATGCTCTTTCTCTCTTTTTTAAAAGATTTTATTTATTTATACAAGAACTGGGGTACAGGCCAGATGCGTGGGAGGGTGAGAGGATTCACCAGAGACAGAGCGGGGAACAGAACAGGCAGACTGACAAATACACTGCTGAGGGTATTACAGGGCAGCCCAAATATAAAACGGGGTGCCTGGCTGTGGGTCCTCACCCACACGCTTAAAAGGGACTTATTAATCCTCCACTACAGGCACACACAAAAGGTTAATAAAAGGTTTATTTACAAGGGAAAAGGAAATAAGGAAATGTACAACTCGGAGAGAAAATAGGGAAATGAAGTCTTAAATGCGTCCTACCCGATCCGCCGACCTGGAAACCAGTGGCACTCTCAGAGCTGGCTGCGAGCCAAGAGCCGTGAAGCCAAAAAGCTCCCCCAAGACCCACATGTCTGGCTTTATATCAAACTTGGCTGCTTAACTCCACCCTCCGGTCCCAGCCACCTTCCCTCTGGTGGTGATGGGATTTGTCTTTCCCAATGTCCTGATGGCTTCGGTCTGGAGTGGGGGTGGCGTCCACAAAGCCTGCATGGGATTGGAAGACATCCTTTCCCCCTAACAATTGGAACAGCAGGTGCGCCTGGAGAGGTCTGCCGCTCCATGTGGGACCCTCGCCGGCTGGCCGGGATCGAACCCGCACTGCAGAGGCTGTGGACAACTTCACAGCGAGGCACTCAACCGCCGGCGCCGCCAGGGGAGGCTCTCTCTTGCTCTCTTAAGGAACCAGTTCTCTGTCGAGCAGGTTTGGTGATCCAGGATCCCAAGAGGGAGCTCCTAGGAACCCCCCCTGGATGGCCCTTGAGGTTCCTTTGGGCAGACCTGGCTTGGAACTTCCAATCACTGGAAAAGAAATGAGTAATGAGTCATGTAAATCCCAGCCAGTGCAGAAAATGTAACCCAACAGGGAACAAATTGGTTCGAGGACCCAATATCTTGGCACAGTCAGAATACAAGTGCGGCTGTCACCTGGCGGGCCCAGAGGCCCCTTTGCTTCCAATTACGGGCTGGGGTGCGGTGGGGGAACGAGAAGCACCCTGGGCTTGCTTGATTCTATTGCCTTCTGGGGGTCCAGTGCAGGTTCTGTGAGCTGTTTCTCCACGGGCCAGGCCGGCACTGGACGTTTCCCAGCCAGCACATGGGGAGAAGGGGGTGACTAGTCAACAGCCCCATCAGCGGTGCATGACTACAGCAGCAGGCCTCAAAGAGCCTCCCCTGTGAAGGCAATGACTGACTGATGAGGAAAAAACCCTCCCCGCCAGTGCTGACGGAACGTACTTTATTCCAGAACCTGCTTTTGTCCTGTCATTTAAGGTTGTGGGCACCTGCGGCTGAAGTTCGCTGAGGCTCACCGCACCGGTGTCCTTCCGTGTTCCTTCCATGGCTGGTCCAGTATTGGCATTTATGGAGGGCTTATCATGTGCCAAGCTGCAATGTTGTGATTTGTAAGAAATACTTCTATGGGTCATTCTCTTAAGTGGTGTTCACAGTTCCTGGCTCACAGTCCTCAAAGTCTCGGAGTCTCCTAAGTGATGAGAGTGATAAAGATGCTTTTGTGATTTTGTGATTGTAACGGCAGGAATGGACAGGGCAGGATCTCTATGACCTGAGCAGACGGTGAAGGAAGGAGGAGAGAGGCCTGGAGCCCTCGGTGGCTTTTCAGGCTTTTATTGGGATTTATCAGGTACACGGCAGGCAGGGGTGCAGGGGGCGGGGGTGGGGGCAGGGAGGCCAGCAGGCCTCCCAGCCCCCAGCAAGTCTTCACTGTCTGGGCTCTCCCTCGTTCTCTGGTGGTCTCTGCTTTTCTTTCGCTGTCATTCACTCTGCTTCTCTGCTTTTCTGGCGTCCCTGTGACGCCGCCCTTAAAAGCCCAGTCTTAGCCCAGGTGAATCCCATCTACCTATGCCCACACCCTGCTCCAGGTGCCGCCATCGGGCATGCATTCAGGACCGTAGATCCCGATGATGATCTATCCTGATGGCGGGAGGGCAGGAAAGCCTGATGCTTTTTATTTACCCTACAGGGATGTTAATGAAAGTAACTTTTGGAAAACACTTAAGGGAGAGGGAGGGCCGACTTCAGGGCCAGTAGCCAGGTGGGTAGTGAAGCTTCCGTAGAAGACCAGACAGAGGGAGAGGCCCCAGGGAGCCCCTGGGTTGGTGAGCACGTGGAGATGTGGAGAGAACCGTGCCCGGAGAGGACCTGGAGCCCCAGGGCTCACCCCTGTCCCTTGCCCTTGGCATCGCTACCCTGGCGGTTCCTGAGTCATAACTTCTGTAACAACTTGGTGCTCTAGAGAGTGAGCAGGTTTCCTGAGTCCTGTGTGCTGTTCTAGAAAATTATACCTAGGAGGGTGTCCTGGGCTCCTCTGATGGGACAGAAGCACACATAAGAAACAG